TTTTTTGTTTTTGTTTGTCAGTTCTTTGAGCTTTGTTTTGTGTCATGATCAATAATTTTGTCAAATACTTCATTTTCTGTGATGCATTTACCACCAACTATTTTACTCAAAGTATTTCTTATTTTTGCTCTCTTTTTGCAGAATTTTCCCCCCACGTTTCAATAAGAATGACTCGGCAGACTTAGATGTTTCATTTAATGGTGAATGTGATGTAGGATCAGGGGCATCAGTGGCAGATATAGAATCCCTATCAAAAGATGTGACTGGAGCAACTTTGGCATCTTCAATAACAGACTTGTCAAAGGGATAAATTCCACTTTTCCTAAATGCAGACTGGATGTTTCCAGGATTTAAAATGCTGGCATACACTTTGCAGGCTATTTTGCAGAATTCATATCGTGTAATTACATTTCCACCAGATTCACGAATAAAACTGTGACATGCAGAATTCCATGCAATCTCAAATGGACCAAATCAGCTAACATCTAGTGGTTGGAGAAGATGGCTACAATGTGGTGGTAACACAAACAAGTGAATATGATGAGATTTGGCCCACTCAATAATCGGTTTGGTTATGTGTCCATCATAGAGTAAAAGAATATCATCATCATCTCTTGGAGGCAAAAACTTGATAAGATGCTCCTGAATGTAATTGCAAAATATTTGGGAGTTAGACCATCCAGACTCAGAAACATCACCATCTGCCCCAGCAGTTGCTCCATCCAGCAAGGAATCAAGCATCCTGGCTCCAGGGAAAACAAAGTAGGGGGGTATTACTTGGCCAACACCATTAGCACAGCCTATCAAAGTAACCGTTTTGCCTCTGCCAGATGTTACAGCTTGAGATTTTGAAAATTTTCCCCCAATCACTTTAGGTGGCTTATGTTCTGTGCTAAGACCTTTTTCATCAATGTTATAAATCCTATGAGGTTTGTTAAGAAGGTTGTACTTTGAAAGGACAAGACCAAGTTCCTCAAAATATGCATCTACAGCCCCCCTTGTGGCAAACTTTGCCCTTGCAATTTCTAAACTACATGGCTTCTTGACACCAATTTCAGGCCACCTGCTTAAAAACTTATACAACCATCTATCAGTGAGTGGGTGATCTTTATCTCTAAGGCCTAAATGAACAGCATAGTCAGATGCTAAATTTAAAGTTTCCTGGCGGCTATAGCCATAACCCACGTCATCCATTGTCTTCAAATGACCAACTAGAAGTGCTTCTTGCCCCTGGTTAAACACAGACTGAGGACCTGATTTGATTGTCTCTATATCAACTTTGCCATATAGTCTACCCTGTAGGGTTGTTCTAGGTACATTAAATACTTTTGAAGCTTTATTTGTTGACATTTTGCCTTCTTTGACAGCAAAATAAGCTTTTGACAAGTTGTCAGGATCATAGGTTCTATAAGACCCCCTGTCTGGCACATGATGCTGAAAAAATCAAAACAACATATATTAGCATTTATTCAATTAAAATTCAATTAGTAAACAATTAACATATCTATTAATAAGGAACTATGGTTGTGTTGTCACGTTATTTTTTTCTGTGAAGTATACTTTACGAATCATTGACAGGGGGCGGGGCTTAGATATTGACCTACTTCTGCAGACGAGCCTATTCGTTTTTACAAACATTCAGTCTTTATGTAAAAAATATGAACTTTTAAAAGCTGACATTTTGGGAATAGTGAAAATATACAAAAATGTATGTGCATACTTATTTTTAAGTATACTTACGGTTCTTATCTCCATTTTGCGTCAGATAAATTTGCGTGACATTTCCGTGATGTTTGTAAACAAAACGCGCGCACTTGACCCGGATGTGATGTAAGAAAGGTAAAAAAAACTAAAACTTTCCAGGGCCGCCGGAAACGGGTTGTTGCCAAATTGTGGTTGTGCCGGGATATATTTGTTTTGAGGAAAGCATCAATGAAAGAAATCATGTGTAAGGATTACTTATTTTTAAAGATCCTGTATGTTTTGTGATTGATATTGTTACTGTATGTATCATACACTTGGAAAATGTTATATATGTATATAATTATGCAAATAAAACAATTTACAAACATCCAAGAATATGTAAAATGTGTACTGCAAATATTTGTGCACATTATATTTAATGAATAATTTACATGCATTCATTTCTTATTGGAAAATTTGACTTGGAATTTATAGAAAATAAATTTCTAATTACCTCCCTTTATTTACGCAAAATGTTAAAATTGAGTAATATCTTTATAAATAATGCTTATTTGAACTTACAAGATTGACAATTCTTAATTTGAGCGTCATATTTATGAAATAAAACCATGAAAAAATGTGTTACAGGATCTTTAAGACTTTTTGTTTTTCCGTAACTTATTAATATAAACTGAAGGAAAGGTGATATTTCAGCATAAAAAACACGACAATATCACTATAATAAATTCATTATCACAAAAAAATCATTGAACTCTTAGAACTATGCTTTTGGCACACTGATATGCAATATGAAAACTATACACACGTTTTTTATCATTATCAGTAAACAGAAAAAAGAATACTCATTTTTCAGATAAAATGCTCATTTACAACTTGAAGTGAAATTTTAATGAATTTTGAATTGCATATAAAACGATTTCATGTGGGAAGTAAACACCTTTACGTCAAAAAAAAATAAAATACACCAATAAATTTTTCTAACACCATGTATGAATGAATCATGCATTGAGTTTAAATGGAATTCGATACTTGTTTGAAATTAAATGCACCTTTAGGAGGTAAGCTACAACAGTTTTTTGCAAGTCTTTTGGATTTCGCAATTGCTTATATCACAACTTATATTGGCGGTATTCTGATGGTACAAATTAACAAAAGAAATGTCAAAAAAATAGGATTTCGTTTTGCAGGATAAGATAGCATCGTTTCAAAGACATTCGAAATGTTGCCCTGTTTCATATCTGAAAGAAAGAAAATTATTTCAACGGAAACTACACTGCACTGCAGGTGCCATGCTTAAATGTATCGATTTTTTCCAAAGTGATAAACTAGTTAATTCAAACTCTTGTTGAAACTATAAAGCGACATTTTGAGTAACTGTATGTAATATCTTCTTTACAAATCTTTTAAATACTACACACTGGACTTAAACCTTCAACTATGTTCAAATCTGGTTCTCGAATATTTGTTATTTGCCATTGTATATAAACAGGCTACTGTAAAAAGAAGACATATTCATTTTTCTGCCTCGTCTGTGGAAATAATCAATCATAACATATTTGCATCACCTTAGGTACCTTTAATCACAGGAATGTTTATCATATAATTGTACAATGTTTGCTGCAGTCAGAAACGTCTTTATTTCTGCAGCGCAACTTGTACAGATATACAATTCCTGCCAATTCGCCAGTCATCAACAGTATTTTATTATTCCTTTCCATTGTTTGTGATTGCTGTTAATGCATTAGGCAATAGGACTTTTAATAAAGCATTGAAAGAGGATTTTCATTGAGAGGCAATTAATGACACAATACAAACGACGAAATAGCACCTATATGTTAAATCACAATGTCAAGACCATTGTCTACGCTATGGCTTATAATTTATTCTTAAAAGTGACTGAAATAATATTTTAATGGAGGAGCAATTTGAAATGCACTTTGTCAGTTTTAATAAAACACACTGAAATAAGTCTTATTTAAGTTGGACGCACGATTCAATATCTTAATATATTTTCAGTAAAAGTTTTTCTTAACAAAGAAGTCCTGACACGTGTTGTTACTTAACCGATAGATGACCCTATATGTACTGGTTAAGTACCACAAGGCAGACACCTGGCTTTTGGAAACATAAATTTTGAATTTAAATGATTTTCCTTGGATAGAAAATTACTCAACTGATGAAGAATATACTGATTTTTTAAGATTTGTCTAAAAAATAAAGCAGGTTCTGTTAATTCAAATTTTCCTATGGTTAAATTAAAAAAGGTTTTCGAAAGATTTTTCTCAAAATCATAATTTTACGTTTCACATTTGCAAGTTTTCTGTCAATAAGAAATTGTATAATTCTGTTAATATTTTAACAAAGAATGTTTAGTTTACTATTCTAACACTTATTCAATTCTTCAATATAGATCATTTCTTACGTGGTGATCAATAATGTAAAAAGAACATTACTTTAAATTTTCGGAAAGAGGATCATTTCAGTGTGAAAACTTTTACTAAACATTCCTCTGAATTTTAATGCAACTGAGGTCATTTTAAAACTGTCACAGACGATTATCATATCGTACACCTCACCAAATTAGTAAGATGCGAGTATAAATAGTGATAAGTTACTTTTCCTTCAGTTATAAAACACAACAGTTTGGCAGTTAAAGATCAACGTATTAAAATAAATTGCTGTTTTAAAATCTTTTGATTGGCTTTTCTTAAACTTTACTTGAGTATCGTCCACAAGCAGATGATGAAAGAAATATAATTATATATGCTTGTCCCCATCTGGTTTGAAAAGATATATTGTCTAAATAAGAAAAAAATGACTCCTATAGAAAAGTTTTCCAGCATTTCGGGAAATATAATGATAAAAAAATGGCATGTAAGTTTAAAGGCCTATGCTTTAAAAATATATTTATAATTCTTATTTCACAAAAACTTTAAATCTTTGGTATCTTTTGTAGTTTCCCAAGATACTTATTTGCGACATAGATAAAATTTGTGTTGGCAAGTGGTATGTTAATAGTGAATTAGTATTTTGGATAGAAGAAATAAACTACTTTGTTAAACTGTGTTAACTTTTCAATACATCCCTGTACATTCATAGCTTCTTTTTCAGCTGAAAGTTATATATTGTTGAAAACAGATATGTACTTTTGTTATGAAAAAATATACGCAATTATTTAAGCAGGATATTGCATTTAAAAGAGAAGGAAAAAAACATAACTTCAATATAAGACAGAGCAGCAATTTTTATATAAATCTTTTAATAGCTTCGATTCAAGATTGAATTTATTCTTTATCGATAAAAAGTGACAACTATTCATTATTGTCAGAAAAGAGCAATATTGAGAATAATATTTTTTTCTCTTTTTGTTTGATTTACATAAATGCGCATGTCTTATAAAAAATAAATGCATACTACTGTGTTTCAATCTAGCGTCAAGTTTACAACTTGCCAAAAAGAGTTTTCAATCTTGCATTTCCTGTAGCATTTCCAAAGGGAATAAAATCTAATTGATCATTTCTTGTCAATATCAAATATGCACAGGCTAACACTCCGCAGGCGTTTAGCATTTTTGATTTTTTCTGAATTAATCTTATCTTTAAATTAGTTTGGCAAGACATATTTCTTAAGGGCATTTCATGAAAATGTTGATCAGATTGAATTCCGTTCAACATGAGCAGAGGTATTACTTTTGAAGTGACTAATTTTAGTTAACTTACCTTCATTTGCCAAGTCTCTTAAAGGCATATTATTTCTTATAAAACTAATATAAATTACTTTAAGACAAAAGGAAACGTTTCAAAAACATTGAAATAATAGCTAGCATATAAGCAAAACATTACAATTCGGTCAAAGACAAAAACTGAATTAAGTGTAATGGTTATGATTTGCATGGTCTGAAATCTGGCATACATTAATTTGAAACGTTGAATTTATCGTAATTCTTATCAAATGTCAGATGTTACTTGCCTGTCACGTCACACTGAAAGTAAACTTTCATTGGCTATTGAAAAGTTGAACGACATCCGATTAGATAAAAATGCTAAATTACATGCTAAATTTCTTTCCATTACTTTTCCAATTTAATTTTACTTGAATGAGCTTACTGTTTACGGTGTAGTTTTAAAAAAATTGGCATTGAATAATTGTATGCATTTGTACGATATTGAATTATTTTTTATGATAGCTGAGAAATATGAAACAAAGTTTTATTTAAAATAGTTTAAAATAATGTTAATAAGCATTTTTGTTGTTCACAACGTGTCTTCTTTCATTGAAGGTTTTTTATAAGTGTGATTTTGGTCTTCAGTGAAGGGGATAAGTCTGCAATTCTTATGTTATTTTGTTGTACTTAATGCTTCCAAGGATCGCTTTGTTTTCATAATTTTATGTATTATGCATGAGATTCGTCGTTTTTAAAAAGTGAAAATTTTCAAATCCCTTGATGGTTGAAAAAGTTGTTCATTAATTGTTTGCATAAGTGTGATTTTGGCCTTTAGTGTAAAAGTGTGATTTTGGCCTTCAGTGAAGGGGATTTGGTATAACGCGTGAGATAAGGACGTCGTTTAAAATTAAAAAAAAATCAAATCCCTTGATGGTTGCAAAAGTTGTGCACGAGACACGAAATATACGCTATATCAGACACGAAATATAGCGTGTATATTGGTTATCATTTCCTTACACGTGTTATCAAACATTTAAATCATTTGATTTTTGGTAACAAAAACGTATCTATAAAATGGTTCTTAAATACAATCTGCATACATAAAAATCTTCTTTGCATTATGTCATTTAATAATTGCCATCAATATGGCACGACAAAGTTGTTCCTTCTTAAAAAATTTATTGTTCAAGAAAATGATTTTAGAAAAATTGAATAAAAATTTGAATGTTTCTCTCGTTTGATTAAACAATATCGCTAGCGTCTGTGCCCGAGTAGTAAAGCATGTTGAATTAAAATCAAAGATGCACGCTACTGTCGAGCCATATCTTTGAGAAAATCAGCAGTAATTACTGCGTTCGTGCCTATGCTTAACATATGAAAACAAAAA